AACTTTCCCAAATTCTAATTTTTTTAAATACGCTGGTTTCAGTGTGAGCATATGGCAGTCTGGATGAAAAATTTGGTGGCTCTAGCTGTTATAGTCTCTGAGAACTATCCGACAAACAAGACGGACAGACGGACAGACGGACGGACGGACAGACAAACATGGCTCAATCGACTCGGCTATTGATGCTGATCAAGAATATATATACTTTATGGGGTCGGAAACGTTTCCTTTTTCACATTCTGTGGGGCTAAAATCTATCTCTGTGTCTCTTAAACCTCAGCTATGACCTCAAGGCCTAAAGTAGTCGCTAATCAAAGCAAACACACACACTCAACACACAGTCAAAGACCACAACTGGCTTGGGGTGCCGCGGAGACAACGACAAATATTGCGGTTGGCTTTGGGCCGCAGCTTCTCGACTTGGTTTACGCTCTGGGAATGTTTACCGCGCGTCATGTGGCATGTCACTTGCGGCTTACGGGAGTGTACACTGTACATATCAAATATCCAATGAGTAACCAAAAATATGCGCATAAAAAAAGGAAGCGAGCCCAAAGCGAGTGCATCAGTCACATTCCACCCCTCGGATTTCTCCTTGGAACCCCTCGAACCCACGGCATATGTGCATAATTACACTTTTATTAACAGTCAGCGGCAGTCAGGAGAAGCCAACTGAAAATGTGCCACCCACAAGTCAGCCGCCACCCACATGCCACACATTCGCCCTCTCCGCTGGCTCCGTTTTCCTTTTTCGCTTTTCTCTTTGTATACGTGCCTGGACTGTTGAATGCAAACAGGTGCCACTGAGCCTCCTGACTGGAGCTGGGGGCTGTCTCTGCTGATGCCACTGCTGCAACAACTGTCGTGGCATGGCATCCTTTTGGCTCCTGACAAACCTAACTGCCTGCCTGCATCCGCGGCACATCCTCAGAGACACTTGAGCCGCACTCGGCTTAAATGAAGTGCACACGCCGCCATGCACATCAAAGCGGGCCGACATTAGCCGCAGCGCAGTCAACTAATTAGACACGCCCCCTTGCCCCTGCCTCCATTTGAAACCATAATTAACGTTAACTGTTCTTTCTCGTTCTCCCTCTCACACTTGCTTGCGGGCACCATCTAGATTAGAATGCCATTAAAATATTTTAGTTTTATTTCTTTCGAATCTGAAGAACTGTTTAAATAGAGATGTGCATTAAAATCATTAATTTTATATCACACTTAAGCCAGACAGCCATACGGTATTGAAGGGGATATGTCGATGCCTTGTATACCCTGGCCTCATGGTCTCTTCCTTTATAAGAATTGAAGTTTTGTATTAAAATACTTTTAAAACTGAAATCACAAGTAAGAGCTGTCATTATAATGTTCAATTAAGAAATATTAAAAATGTTAAATGTATAAAATTATTAAAACAATATTTTATTATTTTAAATTTAAATTCATACTTTTGCTTCTGCAATGCGTGGATGCCCCACGGCTGTCTGCTGGGTGCCTCCTTCGTAATTTTTGTTATAAACAAAAAACAACTCTTTGTACAATTTTTAAACTGTACGTCTATCTGATTTCCAATAATATAAATAATACAATTACAATCTTTATGAGTTCTGCTTAAAAAAAATATTGAATGATCTGAATAATGTTTATAAAGAAAATGTGAGACAATAATTCCCATAATACCCATCCCTGAAAGAAAAAGGTTTCGCTTGAACTGCGACTATCTCATATTTTATTCAACAATTTATTTTGCGCTTCTTAATTGTAAGTATGCCAAAACAACTAACCAAAAACAATATGCCTATAATTAGTAAATGTACTAAAAGTATTCTAAAAATTCTGCTGCAAGCATAAATTTGCCATCAAAAAAGGACCCATTTAAGCTCAGAGACTAATTCTGTTATAAGACATTTACACATATTTTTGCATACAATATTTAGAAGTATACAACTTGAGCTGCTTTTTTGCAGTTTAACTGCAAATTGTGAATACATTTTTTCAGATTTTGTTTTGTCATCCAATGTTTTTACATAAATTATGTAATGTATATATTGCTCAGTCTTCAAATCGAAGTTTTAATGGGGGGGGAGGGAAAAGGTATTGTGACAAAAGGTGTACAGAATAATATCATAAGCATAAAATCTGGTTTGTTTAAAAAATCCAAATAAAATATACACAAATATGTTTTCTAGGGTTCTAACACGCACACAAAAAGTATTTTAAAAACTATTTACAACTTAGACGTTAAAAAATAAGTCAAACTCCACACGAATATTAACAATGACAACAACACATAAACAACTAACCCTAAACGGTTGACTAATATGAATTGTTTAAAATATCTGAAGTTTGTGTTGCTAGTTGTTCTGCTATGAAAACCTTCGTTCTGTGTTGTCCTCTTGTGATGCTTTGTTTGAGTATATCCGTCGCTGGTGTCGCTGCTGCTGGTGTTGCTGTTGATTAACATACAGCTGCAATGGCGACGGCACATGCCCCAGCAGCTGCGCCACCGGTGGCGGTGGTGTCATGTCCAACGGTGTGGTCGATGCTGTTGTTTCGGAGCTGAAGCTCGACGTACTGGAGCGTGCCGATAGGGATTGTGCCGAGCGCGTGCGTCTCAATGGCTCGGTGGATGTGGCTGTTGAGAAAGTCCCTGGCTCTCCATAGCTATGAACCCTGCCCACAACTTTGAGTGTGGAACGATGGACCGGCTGCTGGCACGTCTCGCTGTAGTAGGACTTGCGTAGAATGCATGAAATAACCAGAAATGGCACCGTCAGAATGCCAACAAAGCCAATGGTAATAATGACGAGCACATCCAGGCCCTCCAATCGCCAGTAGTTAAGAGTATTTGCATGGGACTTGAGGAAATCCGCGCCACCCGAGTCCAGAATGAGTTCAATTTGTCCCACGGCCAGAACGGAGGGAGAACTACCTCCCATCAGACGTTTCTTAAGCTGAGTCAAGCTCTCCGCATAGCTGGTGTTCAGCGTTAGTTGCCGAATGCCATGCAGCAGGGAATCATAGGCTATGGTATCGTAGTTGACCGTCAGTGAGACTCCATGCAGCTGCAGACGCTTGGCCATCACCTCCTGCTCGGCCAGTATGGGTATGGCCAGAATGGGTGTATCTCCCATTATGGATTCCCAAACGCTCAACTGGCCGCAGCTGCTGATGAACAGCTTCACCAGAGGGTGCGACAATATGGCCTGCTGTGGCCACCAGTTGGCAATCATCACATTCTCCGGCAGCTCCAGATTCGATACAAAATCCTCATTCTCCCACTTGAGCACGAAATGAAACTCCTTGAGGTGACCAAAAACATCCATGACAATGGCCAACTTTTCGTTGGGCAGCTTTGCTGTCTGCACATCAGCGCCCAGACTCATGTAGATGACACCACCCGCCGCACCCTCCATAAAGGAAAGCAAATGCTGAAAGTAAAACCAGCGAGGGTTAAGCTAAGACAATTTATGACACAATTTCCTGGCTTACGTTTGGCAATAGGAGTTGCTCCTTGTGCTGCGTCAAGTGCAGGCCACCAACCTCTACCATATTTGGCAGATAGGCACGCGGATAGCTTAAGCCGGGATGAGAGTTGATCAGCGCCAAACTGAGATTCTTTGTTAGATCCCGGTACTGCGGCAGCTCCTGCACGAGCAGCTCAAAGTGCTTCGAGTAGACCGTCTGCTGGGAGATCAAATGAAAGAAGCTGCGGAGAGGAGCTAGGGATTAGTGCGGGTCCATTATGGGCATAGAATAACTCTTACTTGTAGGTCAGACGCTCAAAGGTGCTCATAAGGCTATTGACGATGCGCTGTTGGGTGTTCATGCGCTCGGTGAAGGGCAGAAAGTTGCTCGGATCCAGCGATGATGACTGCGGGTTGCCGAACATGTTGTTTAGCCAGGAATTGGCACCGGTGGGACTGATTGCAACGGTGGGTATGCCATAGTAGTAGGCCAGGCTGCAATGAGAGAGCATTAATCAAGAGTCTTGTGAGGCCTGCGGCTTCTACTCACCCCAAGAGGGCATCGCTTAGAAACAAATCAACAATCAAAAGATCAAACATCTCGCCGCTGTTCATCAGCTTTCGCACCTGTTGATCCGACAGCAGCAAATCCACATTTGTGGTGCCCGCATAGATCAAGCGCGTAAAGCGCTCCATCACACTCTGTGCGCGCATCTGTTCCGGCTCAAAGCTCATGCCCATGCCCACCCAGTTGTCTTTGAGCCCCTCAATGCGTATTTCCCTGATGTTGGGCAGCTCAACATCTCCATCCATGCCGCCCGCCTCCACGGCATGCGGACTGATGAGCGTAACCGAATGATTACGTGGACTGGCCACCAGCTCCTGCAGCAGTCGTCGTCCAAAGAGATAGTGCGACTTCCACACGCTGGGCAGCACGGCCAGGATATTGGCACAGGAGATGGCACCGCAGAGCAGCGACAGCGGCAGCAACAGCTGCAACAGACGCATTTTCGTTTGTGGTGTTGTGGCTTCAGGGCAATGTCCGCATTCGCCTCTGCATTCGCATCCGCGTACGTGTGCGTGTCCTTCACTTGGTAGCCAGCAGTTGCTACTTTTCCGGTTTCGCACACTCACACTCAGCTGGCTCAGCCTCCTCCCTTCTCGCTCACTCTCTCACACACTCCCGCGGAGCTGTGGGGCGTCTTTTATTATCTGTTGCTGCTGTCGTTTGTCCACAGCATCATTGCAGCATGTTGCACAATGCCAGCTAATGCTCTATTTAAACATAAATTAGCAACAAAACAACTGGACTGGTCCAAAACACGCAACGAAAGTGAAAAGAACGGGACGCAACAACAACAACAATGGCCAAAAAATTGTTTTTGCGGCGCCACACAGAATGTCGATAAGCACTCGTTAGCTGTGTGTGTGAATGGCAAAACTATCGATATTTCTTCTTCTTCGCGTTGTAAACAATTTGAATATTTTGTTTTGTTGTTGGAATTGCTCTTGAGAAGCAATTGAATTAATAGAATCCGTGCTTGATTCTTGATGGGTTTAAATTGTTAGCAATAATCCGCATCAGACGATTGCATTGTCGCTGTGAACAAGCACACACTCGCACTCGCAGACACACCACGAGCACGAAAAATTTGCAATTGGATCAATGCCAAAAAAAATCAAACAACATTGAACCGCATTAGACAGCAGAAAAAGTGAAAAGAACAGCTGGCAAAGAGCACGCACCTGGTGTAGAAACAGGCGGAAACCCTCCCATTCAGTTGATAGCAACAGCCCCAACCCTGAGTACACACAGGCCCACGGCACAATCAAAGCGCAATTGAAAACAGCAACAAAACCAAAGCACACAGAAGAGGGGGAAAAAAACCGGCATATAAAACGAGCTTACGTAAGCCACTCGCAAAGAGACTCGAACTCGTTAATTACGCCCCCAACACGTTAATTGCCGCCCCAAAATGGCTCAGGAATTAAGTAAGTTCAGCAATAAATGGAAGACAATCTTTTAACGTGTACAAAAAACCACTCCAAAGCCCTTATCGATGTGGACAAACCGCTGTACGATCTGACGACCTTCGCTGGACGCTTCAAGTACTATGCCTGGATGACAGATCCCCGTACAGTGATCCAGCCCAGTGAGCGCCTGCTGGAGGCCAAGGAAATGATTGAAAAGTATCGACACGGAGGCCAGTCCCTGGTGCCAGGCAAAGCGGAGGATGTGCATTACAACATGAAGTTGTATAGCTCGGCCTTCCATCCCGATTCCGGGGAGCTGCAGAACTTTTGCGGTCGCATGAGTTTTCAGGCAAGTCTCGTGACGCTATGAATGAATTGCCAAGAAAAAAGAAAGAAAGAAAAGCAAAGGAGGAGGAAGCGAATGTGTAATAGTTGAGCAATTTTCTAGCACGCTGTCGATTATGTAGCATCTCGTGTCTCTCTTTTGTTTAGGTGCCCGGCGGCATGCTAATCACTGGCGGAATGTTGGCCTTCTATCGCACTGTGCCGGCTGTGGTGCTCTGGCAGTTTATCAATCAGTCCTTCAATGCGGTCGTCAACTATACAAATCGCAATGCCAATTCGCCCACCAGTGTTACGCAGCTGGGCGTGGCCTATGTGTCGGCCACAACATCGGCCTTGATTGCTGCCATCGGATGCAAGAACTACTGGTCGAGGAAGGCCACTCCATTGTTCCAGAGATTTGTGCCATTCGCTGCTGTGGCAGCGGCCAATTGTGTCAACATTCCGCTGATGCGACAGAACGAGATACTCAACGGTGTGGAGGTGAAGAACACTGACGGTGAGATTGTGGGCCAGAGTCGTCTGGCTGCCATCAAGGGTATTAGCGAGGTGGTCATATCGCGGATTGCCATGGCAGCACCGGGCATGCTCGTACTGCCACTGATCATGGAACGTTTGGAGAAACTGCCCGCATACAGGCGCATCAAGTGGATAAATGCTCCATTCCAGACCCTGATGGTTGGATGCTTGTATGTGGTTCTCTACAGCCTTATTTGTGGCACATTTTATCCCTCATATCTTTCCTTTTAGCCTCTGCTTCATGGTGCCCTCAGCCTGTGCTTTCTTCCCGCAGCAATGCTCGTTGGACACCTCTACCATGCGCACCTTTGAGCCGGAACTCTATGAGGATATGAAGAAGAGAACCGACGGAAATGTGCCCAAGCGTGTCTACTTCAACAAGGGTCTGTAAGAACACAAGACATGATCATTGGTGTTCAAAAAAGGAAAGACAATAATTTAGTCAATTGTCATCGTCGTTGTTGTTTTCTGTGTAGCATTTATTTTTTCAGATCGCGCAATATTTATAGATTGCCAAGTGTTTGTTCCTTGTGTCTCGTCTCAATAGCTGGAAAACTAGATAGTATTTAAGCTGAAAAGTATCTCAACCTAATGGAAAATGTATCTATCACTCAATTTGTACTTAAAGGGTATTACTTTTTGTGTGTGCGTGTATTTCTTGTAGGAACTGTATTTGGAAAACTGTGTTGCTGACTAGCTTTTAGATTTGTTAAATTTTAAGCTTCATCAATTGGATATTAACCACTGCTCTGATCAAATTAATTCGAATAATATAAATTTGTGAATTTATTTCTTTAGAAAACTTGAATCTTGTAGCTAAGAAAACTTTCAAATTAGGAATATTTTATTAACCTTTAATTGGCATACAACTTCTTTGGTATCTCTGGTTTTTTTAGTACCCTACACAGTACAGTGTTAACTCCATTTAACAGCCACAAATTCAATTTATGTTTTAATGTTTTAGAACTAATTTACTCACGTGTTCTGTTCCATTAAGCAAAAAAGTGTTGAATTAAATGTTTACTAATGCAAATAAAAACTCAACTACTAATCAAACACGAGTGACATTTGTACGGGTTTTAAAAACGGGTTTATTAATTATGTATCCTGTAAATATGTATATTTTTATATATTTCGATAATATATAACTTTGCGCGATTTCATTTATATTTTGAATCTATCGGTTTTAGTTTTTATTTTCGGGTTTGTTTTTTTTATCGTGTTGTAAAGTTTACAAAAATGTGCAAAACACAACTAATGTTTGTATGTATCTATAGAATATTTAGAAATATCTATCCTTTTTTGGGGGGAGGACTCTTCTCTCTCTCTCTTGATCTCTTTCTCTTATTGTTCGGCTGTGTATCGTTTAGGTTTTCCGGCATTTCTTATAGTATTTCTTGGACATTCTCAAGGTACAATTTTTCGTTTTGTTTGTCGTTAATTATTATATCTAGTTTTGTTTTTCTTTTGTTGGCACTCTCTTGCTTAAAAATTCTTATTATTTTCGGTGCTAAATATTGATGGAAAAACTTCAACACTCAGAGATGTTCAATATGTGTAAAATTCTTTTATCTTAACAACAACAACAAAAACACCAATCAAATCCGAACAAACACGCCCCCTTGGGTGTAGGGGGGGGGGGGAGGGGAGGGGCCACACAATTTAGCTGCCTGGCAGCACAAATGTTTCGTTTCCAATGTTGTAAAAAGTTGTAATATTTTTGTTTTATTTTTCGAATTTGTCACATGAATCAGCAAACATTAAATATTTAATTTTCCTTTTTATTATTAATTATTTATGGATTATTAATGTGGCAAAACACACACAAATACTTCCCATAGTGTGCTCTTTGGGGCTGGGGCTCTAAAAACAAACGTTTTTCAATGCCATTTAAAACTTTAATAATTTGTTTTTACTTTTATTTGCTAAACTGACTGAGGCATTCAACGTCAAATTGGCATTTAAATCTTGTTTTTAATGCTAATATATTTATTATATTTTCCGTTTTTCACGAGGGGTTTTTGTTTGTGTGCAGCTGGGAAAGCTCATTCAAAATCGTAGGGGTTTCCGCTGCAAAAAAAAATGTGGATGGTAGAGTTCGAATTTCTCTAGCTCAGCCAAGCATCCATAGATGTATCATCCACCCTTCAACAGGAACTTCGATCCGTATTTAGCTGCCTCAACAAAACCTGCAACATTTCCACATTACTTTCCTGTACTTAGATCAGTGGGAGGTTCCCCTGATGTTCAGACTGTTTTTGCGATATAAACATTTCCAAATGGAAATTGGAATGTGTTCTTGGGTTTGGGATTGAGAACTCGACGTGTGCTGGCATTTCTGCATCTCTTATAAACTGTATTCAAATTCATTCCTATGTATACTTTTAACATTTCGTAACAACCCATTCACCGCCATTGGACCTATTTCCTGAGCTTTCAATTTAGAATATTCCAATCTCTGCTGCACTTACCCTTACCATCTGCAACCTGTCCAAAACCATTATCAAATCAGTCAAGCCTTCAGCTAGAACCTCTATCCAACCATTTCTTTGTGTTTGGCCATGTTTTTTCTTTTTGTTTTAATTCTGTTTTTGTCATCTCTGATTTTTCTCTATTTTATATATATTTTATTTATATTGCGCACAGCCTTTTTTTTCGAAAAATGTCTGGATTCCTCTTTTTTATATAGTTTTCCATTTATTTTTGTTATTTATTATTTTTTTAAACGTCACCTGATAAAATTTTGTACCAACATTGCCTGTCTAGGGGAAAACAGCCCGACCTACCCACTCTATCTGTATATATAAATAACCTTTATTTATATTTATGTATAACAAACCTTCATTATCTTTTCTATTCGCTGTTTTCCAACTATAACATTTCATATTTTTTCGTTTAGAATATTCTTTGTCTTAGAATCTATTATATGAAGGATTTACCTTGTCCTTTCTGCATCCTTTGCAGCCCTTTGCAGACCCTTGGCAATTTATTGGGGGGGTGGGGGATTTATCTGTTCTTTAAGGGTTTTCTTTTTGTGTAGTGCAACTTTTTTGTTTGTATTTTATTTGTTGTTTTTCATTGTTTTAGTTGGTTTTTGTTTTGCTTCAATTTTAAAAATTCTCTTCGATATTCGGGATTTTAGTTTATACTTTAAACTTACATATGACTTGGCATTCAATAGTGTTACAATAGTGATAGATCTATGTATCTGGTATGTATTATCTATATATTAGGGGGCGTGGCTTATGGGGGCTTCCATTGTATATAACAGTTTTAAATTTATATAAACGATGTTCGAGTTTCTTTGTTTTGTTTTTTTAGTACATTTAAAAATTACAAATAAAATAACAACAACGAAAAACACCATTCAATATTTGACTTGTGTGTGTTTTCCATTTGCCGTTTTTGTTTTTGTTTTCTTTTTTTTTTTACTTTTAACGTACATAACGGTATGCATATATATATTCTCTTGACTTGGCTTAGCAGTTAAATACAAACATGTACAATGGGGGGTGTATATACTCTAAATATACATATATATATAAATATATTTTATATATTTTCGTTACTTTTCTTGTTGTTGTGTGGGTTGTGTGTGTGTGTGTGTGTGTGGATAACATTGGATTTTGTTTGTTTCGTTTTGCGCAATAATTTCCGCTTTTAGACCTTAGAAATGTACCAAGCATTGGATTTATTATTTATTTATTACTGTAATATTAATATTAATTCTTAACATATTATGGGTATTCCTGCACTTGTGGTTGCACAAACCAAATGTCAAAGACAGTTGAAATATTCTTCGTTTATTTTTCGTATTCCCCCAAGATGCGTTCGGCACTTGCAGGAGTACCCCTAATTTATACGCTGCTCATATGTATGTGTGTGTGTGTTTTGTGTGTATGTACGAGTGTAGGAAGTGCTTTGTCTCTGGCCATTTAGAAGGCATTCCCATCGGGCGCTTCCTCTGCATCCTCTAGCTGCTCCTCATCGGCCATTTCCAGCTGTAGTTCCTCCCGCTGCACCACCTCCACCACAGACACCGCCTCGGCGGTGGTAGTGGTCGATGTGGATGAGCTGGTGGTGCTGGCTGGTGACATGTTGTCGGGATTGCTGGCCGACAGGTAAATGCAACACGGCGGTGGCGATGTGGCAACGGCTCCTCCGACCAATAGAATCTCCTGACTTGGCGGCAGCACAAAACTCTTCCCACCCAGCAGCTGGTCTCATTTGAGACCCGTGTCCGAGGATGGTGTCCAGCGATCAAACTCAATGCCCGAGTCGGGCGACACTCCGGTGGCCTTGGCCAAATGGGCCGCCATAAATCCGCCCGTCTGCATGCACTTGCAGTCTGGGGCAATGCAGTTGCACGAAAATTTGGAGCCGCGACCGCCGCAACGTGAGGCAACCACACTGGGATTGTTGGCCATTAGGACCGAATTCGAGACAGAGCTGCTGATGGGTGGCTCCATGCCGCCCATCATGGTGCAGCCGCCCTCGTCCATGGCCTGGCCATCGCCGGGACTCAGCCGCAGCTGACTCTCGAAGGACTCCAGCTGCTGCATGAAGTGGAAGTTGGGCGACACATCCGGCTTCCTGTCGCGCACCATCATGAAGGCGTCGTTGAGGCTGAGGCCACGCGTGTGCATCAAGTAGGCGAGCGTCACGGTCACCGAACGCGAAACACCAGCCAGGCAGTGGACCAGCACCGCTGAGTTCGCAGAGCGCGCTTCCTCTGTGTCAAGAAAGAGAGAGATTATAATGGGTTGCATGGAATGCTAATGATCGATTGGCTAACCTATAAAATGTATGGCATCTGGGAAGTGCATGGCCAAATCCTGTGAGTAGTGATCGGTAATCGGTATTTGCAGATACTTGATGCCCGATTTCTCGAATTCATTTGGCAAATCCGGTGTCACATTCAACACATACTGAAAGTACAAAGCATATAAAGAATCTTCCAATAATCCCTGTGCTATGGGGAGACTCACCTTAATGTTGTACTTTTGCAATGCCTTCGAGTCGCCGCTGTGTGCGGCATTGCCGAGGAAGAGTAATCCTTTTATTATCTCCACGGGCGCCTCATTATAGCTATGATGATGATGATGATGATGATGATGATGATGATGGTGGCTGGTGCTCTCACAGTCCGAGGATTCGGCCGAACTGCTGCAGGCAGAATCGGAATGCGGTGTGGAAATGCGTAGGGATCTAAGGGGCGAGGATCTAGCGGATTAAAATGCATTCTGGATAAACCTAATCTTCTAGTTGAACTCACCTGAGACCCATTAACTGATCGGTCTGGACATTGCGACTAGATTCCATCTCTTTGTTGTGCGACTGGCTATCATCCTCGCACCATTCCGGAAATGCTAAGCGAAAACTGGAAAAGCCATCTGTAAGAGAGAGAGAGAGAGAGCAGAGTTTGAGAAATGGTTGAGGAAACTTTAGAATGTGCTTGGGGCATTCCTCTGTTGGTTCGTCTCGTTTTTTGTCATATGGAATGCCTGTTCCTCCTACTCCTATCCCTCCTACTTCTTGCGACGTTCGTTATGCTTGGCCAAGTGTAGCGCGTTTTTGGTCTTTGGTAAGGCAACACCACCTACATGTTGCAGCTATTAACCCGCCCGCCGCTTGGCTGCCTCCCGCTCAAGTATGCGTGAAATTCTTGCAAGCGAATCCATTCATAAAAAAAAGAGACAAACCACAAGAAAGGGGGCAAGTAGGGAGGAGTTGGTTTCGTATCTTCGTGTCTCTTTTCTCTGTCTCTGCAATTGGAAACGGAAGTGCGACGACTATGGCCATATCAAACGGAAATGTTGCTGCTGCTGCCTGCCTGCCTGACTGCCTCTCTTCTATTTGGTCTGGGAATCGTCATCCGAGCATAATAGAAACCGGAAGTTTACAATTTTCTACTTGCTGCATATTAAATGCGAACTCACAACAAACATCACCGCAATTTGTGGAGGAAGGCAGGCTGACTGGCTGCCTGTCAGTCATTCAGGCACAAGGCAAATGGAAATTTCAACAAATTTTCATCAGTTATCAAGCCGTGCAACGGGTGGTATACGCACTTGCCACTGCAGCTGCAACGGCAAGACTTTTTAAAAATAGCTCAAGATATGGCACGGCATGCAAGGCATAAAAGGAACTTGATAGGCGGTGGGTGAGAGCAAGGGCCGCTGGCCGGGGGCTTGGGCGTGGGCGTGGTATGGCCATGGCCATGGGTATATCAAACCACTCGGCCTCTGGCAGGCACAAACTGCATTTGATAGCAATTTCCTGCTCAAACAACTCTGCTGCAGGTTCCCCCTCCGGCCTGAAAGGTTCCTTCATCATGTTGCGGATGGATGGGATAACCGAGTGGAGAGGCGGCTGAAGCAGGATGGAATGTTGCACGGACTTTGGATTGGCCTTGGCACTGAAAACCTTTTGATAAATGCCTTGAAAAAGTTAATTATCCTTGATTGACACTTGTCCTCACACTTTCCTCTGCTATCTGCGTTCCCTTGACTTTGATAAAAGTAATTACAATCGAAAATGTGGTAAAACATACAATTTTTCCTTCAACGGAAGGGTTTTCTCTGGATCTGTTAAACTGTAAAGCATCCCTTTGAAGTCTGAGACGTTTTTAGTGCGGAAATCGTATTTTTATGCATTAAAGATCTCGTAAGAAAATTTCAAAATACTCTAACAAAAGACATCTCTATGGCTAAATCGAACCCGTAACGCCCCTGTCTTTTACTTTTTGTACATCTCTGCTCTACCGCTCTATAGGAAACTTTCCCCACTGTAAAACCCAAACAATCATCATACTATCATATAGATACCCATATGGCAATCATTTCGTATATGTACCCGCACCCGAACCCGTACCCTCTCTTTACTCCATTCCACGTTTATGCCCTCATATGGCATACAAACAGAGATACTATATATCAGTCGTGTATACGTTTGTATGTGTCTTTGTGTATTTATCTCTATATCTTTATAGTTTTTGTTGTTGTTGCATTTTTGTCACACTTTGTGAGTGGCTTTTGTGTGTTCGGGGATTGTTTCATTGATGAGTTCACATCACACACACACACACACAACGAGCAGAATGAGCGAAACAAAACCACAGAAAAAACACAGTGCAAAACGACCTTCAAAACGTTTGAAAATAAATAACAACTAAAAAAAACTTGTAAACTTGAAAAAAGCTCAACAAAGCGTAAACCGAAAAGGGGTTTTGGAATGGAGATCTGTACATATTTCATATTTGATTTGAAAACCGGATTTTGTCATCTCCCAGGCACACAGAGGCATACACGCACACCTGAGCGGAGCAATGCGTACAATACACCCACCCACAAAAAGTCTCAGCTCATCCCTCCCAGCCTCCCCCACAATGTCAGCAATTTGTTGTAGCTATTGTTGATAATTATTATGAATAATAAATAAGAAAGTTGGAGCTCGTTGGGAAGAGGTCGAAGTTGTGGATACTCTTGAGAGAAACTTATATTTAATGACATTTTTTGTGGTTTATTTGTTGCTATAACAAAGATTTTTCACTTTCAGGACGGACCCAACGAAAAACACAAAAGTTTAAGCTCAAGATTTGCAAGGTAAATACCAGACAAATATTATATTCTAACATATGTAAACGATCACCAAATATCCGAAAGAATAGGGTAAGAAAAAATTAACAGAAAATCTGTAGATCTTTTTGCTCCAATTTGTATGCCCTCTCCCGAGTTACATTAAAATCCAGGAGATCGATATACAAATTATTCGTTATATCTTCGTTGTTCCTTTTCTTTTTAACATTTATTATTACCCACCTCGGAAAGGGTATAAGTAAAGTGAAAAATAAATAAAGATACTCTTTTCACCGCAGTTTCGTCGTTGAACGATTTGTGCCGCGTCTCATTCATTGTTTTGTCTGCTGCTGCCACGGGCATTCATTTATTTGTTTGTTTATAATTATATAGTATAGATAGTCTTTTTGTTGTATCACTTTTCACTCGTGGACTCTTATCACCAACTCCCGCCCGCACTCTTTTCGTTTCGTTTCGTTTCGTTTATCAACAACAAAAAGAGCAAAGGAAAAACGTGAGTTAAATAACTTTTGGCTCACTTCTCGTTGGGCTACACAGATACACAAGCAAACACACAGACACACCCGCGCACACACCAACAGAAAGCTCTATTCATTCACAGGTACCACAGTTCAGGCCCCCACACTACCCCCACACCCAGTATACCCCTTTTTGCTGGCCAAAACCAACGGATATGACGTAGGCGTTGGTTTTTTTTTTTGCTCTCAACCTTTTCTCTATTTTGCCGCATAAAAACAGTTAGCCAAGTGGTTCAGGGATGCGTTGAGGGTGTGGAGGGATAAGGAGAACCCTTATATGGTTTGTCCCATTCTGTGGGCGTTTTTTGTTTTGTTTTGTTTTGTGGCTTAGATGACGCAGATTCCTTAAGTGGAATACACATGACACGCCCACACACACACTCAAAGCTATCAAACAGATGTAGGGAGTCCAAAACCTCCAAAAACAGAACTCACCCACCCGTAACCCCACGACACACAACGCCATGTACACGTACTCGTACGTCCGTTTTGGCACCCATTGATGGATTCCGTGGAAAAAACACAACAAAAGCAGCAACAGAAACAGAAACCGAAACCGGAAGCCCCCAAACAGAAAGAAAAACGCAACACAACACATGCATGAAGCTAAACACATGACACAAAGCAATCAACCATTGAACACATTTCCATTTCTAAATTTATAGATTTGTTTAAACAGATTCAGAAAAAGTTCTCCATGGAGCGAATCAAGAGTCATGGCCCATGGGCTGTTGCAATGCTAAAATCGATTAAGCCTGAAAGCCAGCGATTTATTCATTTATTTTTGATATTACATGATATTGTTCTTAAAATGAGCGTAAAGGAAACTTTAAGAAACTTTTGATTTGTCTGATTTGTTTTCATTATTTTCTGTTTGATTTCTAGTGTTTTTATTCTACAAGTCTTTTCGGATATTTTTCGGCTTTCTTGCAATATTTAGCTCCTCAAAAGTTTGGTTTATCCATTCATTGTCATAATTTTCCATAAGTATGTAAACATTTCATAGGCTTTTCTCGTCTCGATCCCCGTGTTTTTATGATATTTTCCAGCTACATGTGCTTTACACATTTGATCACATTTTCCGAATCTTGGCCCAAAGTCCCATAATGCCTTTTTAATCACTCGCCAACCAGCAGCCCCAAAAATGCCCATCCACATTCGCCACGTACCATTTTTCCCCTTTCTCTCCGTGTGTGTGTGGACTTTTCAGCTTAGTTTTTCTTTTTTTGTTGAAGTTTTGAAATTTTGTTTGTCATAGGGATTTCGAAAATTATACAAAAAAGGGAGGGAAAGTGTTTGTGGGGCCCTCACAAAGTTGTGGAAATCAATATTACGCATACGCAATGTGTGGCAGGGCAGGGGGCAGAAAATGTGTTCACTGTTGATGTCTGTGCTGGCAAATGCATTCAGCCGTGCGTTACACAATGCCAGATACAGATACTATAAATACGTATACAAATATATATCTATATGTATTTGTATACATGGGAGGGAGCAAATGGGGTGTCCGGAATGGGGCGTTCTGCTGCTGCTGCTGCTGCTGCCTCATGAATGAATGAAAAACCAGACCATACCGGCAAGCGGCAACGACGACAACGTCCGCCTGCAGTTCAATGCTATTTGTCAATGAGTCAGTCAGTAGTCGTCGGAGTCGTTGCCCGTCCGTCCGTCCGTACACAGACACAATTCCCGGGTCTCGAACTGGAACTGAAACTAAAACTGGAACGGGGGGGAGGGGTAAAAAAAGAGTCATAAATATACGTACAACACACAGAGAAATATTCTGGGGTCCCATATCCATTAGCCATATGCATACCAAACCCCACCCACCGCCGCCATCAACCGACAGCAACATGGCCCCAATTTTGTTTACATTTGTCTTCGCCATCCCGCTCCAAAAACGAACTCGCAGCAGTGCGTGTATTTTTTATGCCTCTGCTTTTGCTTATTTTTGGAGCACACATTTTCCAGAATTTTCCCCAACCCTCCTCAGGCATAAACAAAAGTGCATGAAAAGCCTTTGGTGGTGTGGGGGAGTGAGGATAAATTATTAATGTGCGTCGCCACTTCCGTCTGCAGTCGCAGGAAAAGTTTTCCTTTGCATTGCATTTTCCTTCAAGTAATTTCTTAATCAACTTCTCGGTCGTTCGTTTCGGAATAAAACCCACACAAAGTTGACATTTTAACTACTCTCGTGCCCAGGTGGGGGCGGGGGCAACGGAAGTTGATTGATTACAACATGATTGATTGATGTGAAGAGGAGGACGGGGCGTTGTG